GATTAGGGTTTATTTTAACATCCTACTCCTGGACTGTGTTCCCTGTCCCATACTCTATGTTACGATCATAAATAACTTAGAATAATAAAACTAAGAAATGAATTAGTCTAATTAAAAAATACAAGCCCAACAAAAAGCATGACATAAAGATTTAGCCTTCCCCCATTAGATTGATAATTAAAACCATAATATATAAAATAAAGAAACAGAGCTAGCCTAGTTAGGGGCTTTTCGCCAGGGCTCACGTTTAGAGGAGAAAAGCCCCCCAGCCCAACTTTTAAAAACTTTCTTATGTCTTTGACGCCCTCATCCTCTCATCTCAGCCACTCACTAAAAAGAACCCTCAGAGAGTAATTTTGGACTGGTCCCCAACAGGCCTATATTGATGTGTTGCTAAAGTGTGACAGAGTAGGCAGTCTACAGCCCTCTGATTAGGTCTGGGGCTTTTAATAAATCTGTACCTCTGAATTGTGAATTTTGCACCTGCATCTCAGGTCACCCACTACCTTCTTGACTAAAGGGTTCCAAGGAGCTGAAGTTGGATAATTTCCTCCCCTCCAGTCAATTAGACTCTGATAAACCCTAGCAGGTTAAGCGCCCATAAAATTATTTCTCTTGAGGATAGACCTTATTAAGAATAATAAAAAATTTTCTGATGTATTTTAGAATGATTTTTTTCCTTCTCCCTGCCAGAAACACAGGAGATTTTTCTCAAATATTTGGTATAAAAATAGCTTAACCTCCTGGAGGTAAAGCTTACAAAAGCATGGGGCCATCCAATAGAATATTCCCCCTGGAGATTTTATCTCTCAGGCTTGTTTACATTGACCTTCTAGTAATTTGTTAATTACATTTCAGGTACCCTGGCCCTTGTTTCCATGAAGATGACTATTTGTGGGTATCTGCTTTATTAAGTTAGGAGTCTCTGTATTTACCTGTTTCTTTCTCCAATTTGGAGGGCGGGAGTCGTAGTTTACCCTGTAACTTCTTCTCTTATAAACTAAAAAGAATCATTGACTTTCCCGTGTTCTGCATTTTACTTGTTGTTGGGGAGGAGTGGTGATATTAAGCTTCTTACGTGCTGAGCCAGAAACCAGCAGTTGATTATGGAATTTTCAGAAGGGATGTGTGGCATAATCTAATTTATGCTCTAAAAATGTATTGTGTGAGTATTATTCAGCCGAAAAAAAAACTGCATTTGTACAAGATTAATGAAACAAGAGTTCATTAAGTGAAATAAGCCAAACACATATCACGTATCAGTACTAATCTGTGTGAGCTAAAAAAATGGGTCTTGTCAAAACAGAGGTTAGATGGGTGGTTCCCACAGCTTAGAAGGGCAGGTGGGTGGGAGGGGTTAAAGGAGGTTGATTAATGGGTACAAATACATAGTTCAATAGAAGAAATAAAACCTAGCACTTGATAGATCAGTGGGTGACTGTAGCTTGTGATAATTATTACATATGTCAAAATATCTAAAAAGGACTAATTCAAATGTTTGTAGAATAAAGAAAAGAACATTATTTAAAGTGATGAATATCATAATTGCATTGATTTGACCTTTCATAAATTATATGAATGTACTAAATTATCATGTGTACTCCCAAAATGTGTACGTATACTATGTACAGTATGTTAAAATAACAGCATTCAAAAGATATTATTCTCTGAGGATACACATGAGTGAAATGGATAGCAGGGAGAGAGGCTAGGAAGAAATTGTTATATTTCAGGGCAAAAAATAGTGGCTTAGGATAGTAATGGTTGACAAGGCAAGATGTATTGTAGATAGATTTGAGATGTAGCTTGAAGGCAAAGCCAACGAAACTCCTAATGGATTAAATGGAAGATGAATATTAAAGAAAGAAATTATTGATAACTATTAGATTTTTAGCCTAAGATAAAAAAATTCTGGGACCATTTACTGATATGGGGAAATAAAGAAGTGACCCTGAGAAGAGAAGAGATAGTTCTTCCACTGAAATGGAAGGGGAGAGAAAGAATGGGAAGTGGATGCAGGGTGGTTGTTACAATTGTTGGAGGGAGAGTAATGATAGAATTTTCCTTTATTTAAATTTGTAGTTAAATGACTAGAAAGTCATCAAACAAAAGTGAGGAGAATGATTGTTGCTTTAATTCAGGAAAGAAAAGAAGGTGTGACCCAATCATCAATGAGAATAAGAGGTGAAATTTATTAGGCAAATATAGTCAGAATTCTGGGTAAAAATAAGGGACCACTTGAGATCTGTAAATGTGTGTGTGTGTGTGTGTGTGTGTGTGTGTGTGTAAGTCTTCAGAAAGATTGAGTAGGTTTGTCCATCTGTGATAAACTTCTTAATTGAGATCAAAATCTGGTTATGATCTGTATTTTGACAGTTTCATATGCTCTAGGATGGGAAGTTGAGGGTAACAAAGGAGCAATTTTAATTTTGGACCATACATTTAAGCCAGCAAAAGAGAAAAATGGATAAATTATTAGAAGTGAAGAGTAAACAGAAGTGAGACAATGGATTATGCAGAATCATATATGTTAGAGTGAGAGTTCCAGATTATGTCAACTGGAAAGAAAAGATGATGGTTAAAGAGTAGAGTGCTTTAAATTCAAATTTGAGAAAGGATTATTTACAGGTAGTGAAAAGTTCTATCATACAACTATGACAGTGATTACTTGAGATGAAATGGATAAATGTTTATTTGGGGGATTGAAGATGTTAAGAAGCTGAATAGGAAGATTGTTTTGTGGATCTTGTACATGCATGTGGATGTTTGTGAGGATAAGAAATGAGGCAATTAACCAGGAAAAGAGTAGTTGCTCAAAACACAGGTGGGTAGTAGATGAAGTTGTCGTAGGCATTGTATTTCAAATAATCTGTAGTTTTTAAAATGGGAAACCAAAAAATGGTATGGAGGTGGCCAAAACACATACCTGAGTTCTAGACCCTGGATTATGAAGTGTGGTCAATTATTGAAAAGCCAATCGAGGAAGCAATGACTACAAGTTTCAGAGGAAACAATTGAAAGATTTAGGCATTTAGAAAAAGGTGAATATTGCCTTAAAATAGAACATTGATGATAATGTTTGACCTGGGAGGGTTGAAATTCTGTTGGCTAATGAAGTAAATAGGGCGGTATAACATCTCTTCAGTATCTCTTTGTCAGAAAGTCTGTACTGCTGCTACAACTAGTAATGACTTAAAAATTAAATGTGTTATTAATATGTTTGAGGCATCATTCTAAGCGTTTATGTGTATGTGTATATGTACACATACGTGTGTGTATCAGCCTGTCTCATCCTCCTTCATACTCCAACATTATCTACATTACATACTTGAGAAAACAGAACTGTTAAATAAGTTTCCAAGATGACAAGTGAGTAATTAGGTGAATCTGGGCATTCTGGCTCTGGAGAAGACATCCCCAATCACTACAGAATAGTTTCAGTTTCACAATTAGTACATTGGGTACTTTTTAATGTTGAAGCTAATGGGATGGCAACAATGGTGGGGTAGTGGTAGTGAGAAGTCATATTTTACAAGAAAAATTCAAAGATTTTTTGGCTCCTCTTAAATCCTACTCTGTGTAGGATAAAGCTAAGGAAAGAAACAATCTCCTCAAAATGTTGTGGAGTTCTATGTATTCAACACTAACATGGAGCCAGTAGATGATCTAATGCATGGCCACATAAAAGAAAAACTTAAATCAATTCAAGATGGGGGGTGGGGAATGCAGGAGTGGGAGAGGAGAGGGGGTCTGGGGCTCTCCCACTACATGGGCACCATGTAGAAGTGCATGGCACACATTTTGGGTGCAGGACACAGCTACAAGAGACTCTACCTAACAAATTCAAATATTGTGATTGGTCATTTGTGCCCTCACATTAACCTGAAACAATTTTGAAAAATTAAAAAAAAAGAAATATTCCATTTATAATGGAACATAATGGAATATATATGGAATATAAAATAATGACTATAAAAACTATTAAATAAAACATTTAGATACAAATTGAACAAAAAAATGAGTTAGAACCTGCATAACAAAAACTATAAAAGGTTGTTAAATGACCAAAAAAAAAAAAAAAAATAGATGTGGAGTTCTCTAGGCTCCCTATTTCCAGAACAACTTAAGTTCTAATTTTGTCCTGTGTACATGACTTTGGATTAAGTTCCAGCCACATGAGGAGAGGTCTTTCCTAGACCCCTGTAAAAGAATCAAAATATCACTAACAATGATGAAATGCAAAGGCTGTGAGGGCTTAAGATATCATAAATGTGATTTTAAAGGAAATTTAGGATTAGTTACTTCAAATATAGTTCAAGTATGCCCTCCCAATTGGGAAAAAATTATTAGTCACACAAATATATCAGTGAGGTTAAAAATGAAGTTATTATTTCCTGGATCAAAACGTGAAAAGGGGAAAAAGGCAATGAAAAATAACCCTTGCAATGGAATTAAACCCACAGAGGTACATATGAGTCTGATGACTTGTCTTTTTATTAGCTATCAAGTTCACTTAACAGACAAAAATTCAGTTGAAGCTAACACATGAAAATAGGCACAATTAAAAATAGATCATTAATCATTCCTTCAGATGGTCCTATTTTATCACAGTATTTTTTCTATGTCTAAGAGATAACCAAGTAAGTCTTGAAAAGAGTGTGCATTCTTTCAATTCAGTAAAACATTCAGCCAAATAATTAAAGAGGTGCTATTACTTTGTGTGGGTTTAATGATAGGCAAGATAGAATTTACTGCAGCACTTTGACCTCTTATAATTTGGTATAAGATACCAAACATATTGACTTCAAATAATGTGTTTAGCAAAGTTACAAAACATTCCATATGTGACTTAACATTAACTCCAATTATACACAACACATCATGCTGAAGGTCTAGATTTATTTGAAAACATGTAGTTCAATTCATATCAGCGCAGTAAAACCACATTCAATACATCACAATTGGGGAAGGAACAAAATGAGTGTGTTCTGTCAAATCTGCACACAAATATAATTTAATATTCAATTAAAGGGTGATAAATCACGATCACAGGGAAATAAAATATTTCTCCCTTCAGTAGTAGTAAGAATCTCTCTTGAGGATGTAGGGTCTTCGGGGTTTATTCTCGTACAGCTGCCGTTTCAGAATGTAAGGGATCTTTCGCTTTATGACTTCTTCCTTCTCATTTTTGTCATTGTCAGCATCAAGAATATCCTCCTGAATTAACTGCAAGATTAGGAAGAACATATAGATATGTAATTTTCATGCATAAAATCTTCCATTTAGAGCATTTTTTACACGTGATCCTATTTGCTGTTAAAACAGAAGGGCATATCTCGATGATGTATATGAAGTTTAAAGAAATTAAAACTTTCATCAAAGGACAGGTGCTATCTGGTGTCTGAGATAAGATGAGAATGTGATCATTTGGATTCTGAGTTCAGTGTCCTTCCCAGATCAGTAGGCTAGCCCTTTAACACAATTTGTGTATGTTTCAAGCTACACACTCATCCCTCTAATGGAAAGAACACACCAAATAGAACTTTGGGCAGTTTTTAGGCTAAAATGTACGATGGAGAGATCAAAATGGTATGAAATACATATTATATTGCAACAAATAGAGTTTTGAATCTGGTAAGCCAAATTTGACTACAAAAGTAACAGGATTTAACAGTCAATTACCAACCTGACTTGAAATTCTTTCCAAGGATCCATTTCTCAATAGTGGAAATTATGCCTGCTTTGCATAACTTTGTTGAGTCAGTATATGGGAAAACTCTGCTTAAATGGATCGCCTCGGATTGCAGTGCTTAATAATCACAAACAGATTCAATAACTTAAAGGGAATTTAGTTTCCAAGTAGAATCTTGCCTACTATCTCATTGAATACGTCCAATTTTAAAATTAATTCTGTTTTTTTGATATTGTTCTAACTCAAAAATTTCAACTAGCATAAAGTATGGAAGAACTTTTTCCAGAACTTTACACACAAGTTACTTGAAATAAATAAATAAATATATATATTCTCAAGTTAAGAATTTTCTTCATAGTTGTGGTTATCTTCTAAACTTTGGGGTTACCATAATGTATATTACAGAAGACTAAGTTTTAAATTATAATGTGTATGCATAAAATCCTATCACCAAGCACTTTGTTTCAACCCACAGCTATTAAACTTCAGACAAGGAAAATCAACCATTGTCAAGACAATCTAGTTCCTTAATCCTTAGTTTCTTTGTGCATAGTCTATAATTACTTGTGCTGTGCTCAGAATATTATCGTTTTATTTTTAAATCACTCAATAACATTTAAAACAGGAAAAGTTTCAGTTTTATTTGCACTTGATTTGTCTGCATAATAGTTTATTGAGTTAATTTTTTTCTAGATCAATAGCACATGATTAAAATTTCTCTATATTACAAGGTATGTTTATCAAATTTTATAACCTGAAAATATTTTAAATGCTAAACCATTTCGCTGGAATTGAAATTAAAGGAGGAATGGTACAGTAAGTAGAATGAAAACCAGCACTTTCAAGTGTTTTAGTTGGAAAATATCCTTTTGTTTACTGGTTATAGTAAACAGTAGAAATTCTGCTTGCTTTTCTACTTGTGTCCAGGGTCCCTCTGGTGTGGTCGGTCACAATCTTTTACATTAGCTAGGAAAGCACCTTCAGATAGAGTCTCAAGGTTGGTGCAAATCCAGAATAGAAAACAGTAAGCAAATCTCTCTTAGAAATTAATCTGAAAGAAATGTTTCCCTTTTGAAAAAATTTTAAAGTCTTTCTTTTCCTTTCCTTTAAAGTATTCATTTCCCTCCTCCTCTCCTCTTCTTTCGGTCCTGACATTTTTCCCTGTCTCTCCAAAGCTCCAATTTAAATTTCAGAGCAAATTATATTAAGGACATTAATTACAAAGTGTTTTTGCAAGTTCATTATTATATCCATACACACATAGTCATGTATTATTTATAAACAAACACAAAAAGCTGGAATGAAGGGGCTATACATCCCTATCGTCTGTCCATCTACCTATATATGCACCTGTACACACATACACATATATATGTATTATACAAATTCCAAAATATTTTTATGTCCCTAAAATATTCAAATTCAAAGGGTTCCAATAAAGCTGGAAGAATAAGTATATATATCCCTATCTTATATTTTTATATAAAAATAATATGTTATATTTTCATATAAATAAAATATTTATTTTTACATTTTTATATAAATAAAATCCATTTTTATTTGACTGACATTTTCAAAGAAAAATGAAAACTTTTGTGTTTTATCCCTTTGTTGTTTGTCAAGTTTTGTGTTCAGTGTTTGTTTATGGCTAAGTAAACAATTTCGTGTTTATAGGAAAACATTTAAAGTTACTTAAATTTCTTAGACATGTCACCACCACCAAAAACTTGCCTAAGCATGTCATCCACTTAAGAATAATAAAAACAGGGTGGCACCTGTGGCTCAAAGGAGTAGGCACCAGCCCCATATGCCGGAGGTGGTGGGTTCAAACCCAGCCCTGGCCAAAAACTGCAAAAAGAAGAAAAAAAAAGAATAACAAAAATATATGGACCAAATGTGCCTTAAGATATATCCCCCTTTTAAGGTTGAAAATAAGGATTTTACTAAACTCCAAATATGTGAAAACATTTCGAAGATTTGAAGGAATGTTGACCTGAACACATGGTTTATCCTTCCTGTATATTTGTAGGTTTTCCTGTTATGATAATGATCAAGATTTTTAAAAAATCAATACACATCAATGAGGACGAACTCGCATATCTATAATTACATCCATGTTTTGTCTTCGTCTTACCTCCCAGTGTTGAAAGGCCCTGCTGTGACAGATTTTCTGGAGCTGGTATATTGTCAGCATTGCTTCCAAGCTGAAGCCATCGGCAGGAGTGGGGACTTTCCTTCTTGGCACAAGCTCCTCTTCACGAAACTCTCCTGTTTCTTCGGGTTGGGTGTTCAGGTTGTTCACAAAACTGCAAACATTTAGCAGGGTCATTTTCCAAGAGGGAGCACCGGCTTTACTGATCTGAAATATAGAAAAAAAAAATACATTACAACTAAAACTTGTGTTATAGGAGTAAGAAATAAATTTCTTTGGAGATAAACAGTGACTTTGCACACATCATTGTTAACTCAGTTTGATAAATACAGTGTTAGTAACTTAGCAGTATCATGTCACGAAGTTAAAGATAGTGCTAATATTTTACCTCCTCTATTTAATAGTATGAAATAAACTTGAACAAGTATACATAGGCATTCACATAGGCACACACAAAAATACAAAAGACAATAGAATCTATATATATATGTATGTATATAAATATTTCTGTATATATCACAGATGAAATTGACTACACCAATTTTTTTAAAAAAAATACGTAAAGTAAACCTTAAATAAGTGGTATAAACAAAAGTATCACAGAATCACCGATCAAAGGCACAATATAGTAAGTAAAGAAATATGTGTGGGGCGGCGCCTATGGTTCAACGGAGTAGGGCACCAGTCCCATATACCGGAGGTGGCAGGTTCAAATCCAGCCCTGACCAAAAGCTGCCAAAAAAAATAAATAAAAATAAGTGAAGTAATTTTCAATTTGCTTACTATTAGATTGGAAGACCTTAGTAAGTATAAGCACTCTTAATGGTAACTAGGACATGGGGAAGTAGGTGTTCCTTTCCTAAATGCATTAGAAACTCTGTAAATTGACCTCCCAAGGGACTGTAACAGACCTGGTCAGCATGGGAGGTGGTTAACATAAGGAACCAGGCCCATTGTACTGTTACATACATGTAGTGCCTGTCCTGTCTGTGAAAATTAGGTCAATTTAAGGAGGTGGTCGATGTAGAGAGGTGGTCAATGACAGAGGTTCTACCGTATTTGTTGTTCTTGATATAATTGGGTAAAATTTCTTAAAGAGTATTTTTGACAATCCTTAGCTGAGAAGGGACACTGAGAAAGGGGTTTAAGGGGGTGTTGAGGGAATACCTGGCTTCCTGAACCAGAAAGTCTGGAGGGCATGAAATAACCAAGGTAACAATGCCCAATAGAAAGAGACAATCAATAACTGATAGAAAAGGGCAATATGGCCTGGAGGTGCGGAGAGACCTATGAAAGCCAATTTCTGATGGAATAGTTAATATACGACCTCCCACCCCCTCCTCACTTCTGCCGATCTTGGTTTGTCTCTTAACTTTCTTTCGTTTATGAGGCAGACCCACTTTCAACTCTCTTTGGAAGTGCTCTAAACTTTCTCTCTGTTTTTCTAAATAAAACCTCCCTTCCTTTGTTACCCTGAAACTCATTACATTTACTCTCTATCCACATTGACTGTGCCACTCCAATTCTATGTTGAATTTCCGCTAACTTTTGCTTTTGGTTACTGCCATGCTTCGGTTGAACTATCTAGCTCAACCAAGTAATTGCACCAGTTTAACTGGGTTCCTAGAACTGGAACCCCCACTCCCCAACAGTAAGTATGCATTAAAATCATAAATATGCATACTCTTTGATGAAAATTTTACCCTAAGGGGATGCAAATTTTTGAGTACAAAATGTTTGCTACAGGTACATTTTCAAACAGCTTGCATATCTTTTCTGTTATGTCCTTTGAATATGGTTACTTAGGCCTTGCTGGAATTTTTCTGCTATGGAGGACTATTTGAGAAGAAATATACTGCATTTCAGGGCAGCACTAAATGCCTATTAGTAGGGCACTATTCATTCAGAAAGCTCTTCAGAGATCATCTATTTCAATGATTTTCAAAGTTTGTTTCTTACAACACCAGTTCTGTACTCATTTATTTTAAAAAGCGCTCCACTGTCAGGCAAATTGGAAAATTTGAGTTTAAAGAAAATGTAAAGACTTCTTGAATTTAGGCATCCTCCAAGCTTTTTACATGCAAATATTCGTTCTGACTTTTCAATGAAGCTGAATATAGTGTACAATGTTCCCCACACTAATTTGACCACAGAACACTACATTCATAAAGTGTATATACGTAAGGCTCAGTGTGGCCTGTTTTTCTGTAAATGAAGAAACTTAGTTTAATCATGTTGTTCCCTTCTACCCAGTAAGATAGTCACTCCCTCGCCCATCATTGCTGATGGCCACATCAGCCCTTGTCAGACCCAGGAAGCACAGGAGACAGAGCACCCTTTAAAGGGTGTCTAAGGAGACGTATTCGAAAACATATTTGTATAAGGTTAAAACTATAAACATCTATCTATTTCCTTATTTAAATGTAATCTGAGCAGTATGACTAACACTTACTACCTATAATACACTAAACTCCAGTAAGTTCAGCAGATGGTGAATTCAAGGATTTAAAAAAAATGGAAATAATGAAAACCATCTGTGTTGGAGCCCTTGAGTTTGTGAATCTGAATACAAAATATGAGGGAGTAGCAAATTTTGGAGTCCCATTGTTTGTTCATAAACATCTATTGAACTCCTACTATGTAAGACATTATAGGAAATTCTAATGTTCTAGCAGCCTTTTGAAAATTTGAAGAAAGTACACCATGAAGAAAGTACACCAGTTTCTTTACCTTAATAAACACTAGCATTGGTACTAAAGAGAATTATAGTGTAGGGAAAAAAATCTTCCCTCTCGGAGACTTCTTTGCAGCCTTTGGAATTATTCCTGGCCTTCTATTGCTACACTAGTATTTCGGTGTCTAAAAAGATTTATTCTAAAATTGAAATCGCTCACATATTTCACTTATAAAATGGAAAGAAGAAAACTGAAGCTTATTGAAGCTTGCAAAAGTGGAACTGTGTTCCTAAGAACATCCAACACTGTTCTCATTGTAATTTTAAATGTAGCCACTTGTTAAACATGACCATAAGTCTGGAGTTTTCATTTGCACAGGGCTTATACCAGAAATGCTTGAATCATAAAGAAATAAAAGATAAAGTCATTTTCTGGGAAAAAAAAAGAGCTTTTTGTTCTCATTGTAACAGCAAAATTAGAATAATTATACTTCTAGGTACCTGCTCATCATAGATTGTGTTACTTGTCTCAATTAAAAGGAGGCCTTGAAATTCAAATTCTTTTTTGTTCTGTTTTAGAGATATATCCCATGACTGAATGAAAAAGAAAAATTAAATGGTGCCTATACTTTTGCTGTGTATTTCTTATGAGATGCGAAAATTTCAAAGGAAAAAAATCTACACCAAGACTCCAAGGCGTTCTAATCTAGTTCAATTGCTGACACAGACTGTGGACTTCAATTATCTTCCGTGTTTTGAGGTGATAAGATTATAGTCACTGCTATTCTGATCGAGTGTTGCACAAGGAGCCCCTTAACGTAAAGTTAAATGTATTAACTCATTGAGTTTTAGTCACTGACTAAATTTGTTCATTCCTGATAGAAAACTTATTAAGTTATGGTAACATTGGCTGTGATCTGATCAATTAATTTTTGTAGATCTGGGCCATTATGGTAAACTTTTAGTGTATATATAACTTTATATATATGCATTAAAATTTCCCAATATTCCTTCTAAGCACCACAGTAGAAATATATATTGTTGTGAGCTTTGCGATAATAAGGCCCTTCCCTCTCAAACACACACAGGAATGGATTATTTCCTTCCCACTCACTACCGAACATAACTCTACTTGTATATGGAGTATTACTGCACCTGTCACGTGTTGTTTCAATTAGGGAAGAGGGATATGAGAGGGCAGAACTTGAATAACACTTGAGAAATGAGGCGGGTTTGTGTCCTTACTCTTCCACCATTCACATCTGTTGAGTCCTCAGTCTTGATACAGCGCTGCTGTAATGACTGTGCTGGGTGATTGGTTCACATTTAGATACACACTGATTGACTCTCTCTGAATAATCCATATTACATGGTAGAATGGTAGTCAGACATATTCTAATAGAGTTTTATTCCTAAATCCAGTTTGGGAACTTGCTTTCAAGGTCCCAAGAAAGGAATAATAGGTCCCAGAATACGAAATTGCATTTGGCTCATTTATAAAAAAGAGAGAGAGAGAGAGAGAGAGAGCAGGTACAGATAATGTGTTTGTTATAGGGAGAATTTAAATCCAGACAAGCAAGGAAGAATGTAGTTCAATTAATTTTGAACACACTGCACAACTGCAAATGTCTATACCATGAAGTCCAGCCCCTGCGTGTAAAAATAGGGAAACAAAAATAAGCAATTAATCCATCCTTAAGATCGAACAGTTTCTAAGTCACTGTTTCAGGATTAGATCCCAAGGTTCTTGTTCTTTGGTGGTCATGAACTTTTATTTTTAATGTAGGAACACTTTTTATCTTTCTCTCAACATAATAGAAAAGGCAAAAAGTTCCCTTAGCTTTCATTTAACTTGAGGCCAGTCATCTTTCATTGTGCCCCAAAGTGAAAAAGGATGGAAGCAAATTCCTTTAAATACATTTGCTTATCATACAAAGACTATTAAAGTTTCAGTAGGCTGATTGATAATTGCTGTGGTTTCTTTCCCGTCACATCAACACCCTTAACTTCTTCAAACTAAAAGAAAAGTCCCCCCCAAAAAAGGAAATGCCTCCCAAGGAACTTTTCAATCTTGATGGGAAGTTATTACTGTAGGAAAAGGGCGTGATGTTTTGAATGAAAGTTTATATGTTCTTCAAACCAGGGTTAAAGAAAAGAAAATGTTACCTTTGATGTGTGCAGATTGGTCAATAAGTCTGCCTCTAATGTTTTCATTTCCTCTTCTGAATCTGAGTAAAATCGAAACCACATGTTTACTATATAATCACATACCATATGATTATATCATAATCTACAGATTTTAGATTAATCTCAAAAAATGACTCCTTGAGGTTTAATGCCTGTGTGTATTCATTCTTTTTAACATAGAATTTAGGAAGAAAACAAATTATAGTTTTATTTTAGGCTAACAGCAGACAGCTAGAACAGTAGAGGCACTTCTAAGAAAATAAGCATACAATTATTTACCAAGACAGCTATTAATTTGGAGCTAGTCTCTGAAAGTCAGTAAAGAAAATTGATTACATTTTATAACAAAGATGTCATCAAATATGCCACAATAGTTTATTTTTACCAGCAATAGTTTACATATATAAAAATATCATATTGATATTCTTAAAACAACATAATTATGTGAACAGAGGATTTTTTACTGATAACTTTAAAATAATAAGCATACTGAGATTCATTTAACTTGAGATGCTATTTTTCCAAACACACTTTGAAAGAATTGTTTTTGTACGTTAGGCCAAATTTTGGAATTATGTTATAAAAGAAGGCAAAAGTTAAAACTCTGTCTTCCTTACACTATCAACTCATTGAAGAAAAGGGTTAGACTTGGAGAAACCATTTGTTAAATTGTACCTGAAACTAAATTATACCAGAAATCTTTTCTCTCTATTTGTTTAAGATAAAATGTTTGCAAGAGAAGTGGCAAATTCCATTAAAGATATGAACAAAATAGATCAAAATCCTCATAACTTTTGGCTCATCACAGCAAGTAGTTTCAAGAGTTAATAAGCATAGTGCTTAATCAATAACTCAGTTTGGGTCACGTGCTGTACGTATACCTTTAATCTCACACAATTATCAAATAAAATCACAACTATAGAAAAGTGGATATTTTTTCTCATAATAGACTTACAATTCAGAAGTTCAAGCTTGTTTTCGAATGATTAAAATAATTTTACAAATTTACACAAATCAGTTAAATCTGCTAGAATTAAATTTCATAAATTCAATAAAATGATAGAATAAGTCTGAATCAAATATGTCAATGTCATCATTCTGAGTTAGAGCATAAAACAGGTTAAACTGTGTGCTGCATTTATCCCCTAAGTTTTTCTCCCTTTGATGTGATCATGCAAATTGCTTTTAAACATGAATTAGAGCAGTTGGATGTAGTTTTACTACTACTATTTCATGTTACTTCCTTAAACTTAAATATTATTTGCAAGACAAGTTATTGATCATTACTAAATAATATAACTTCTCTTTATCATATGGAAAACCCTCGAAAGCCACATAATTTCCATTAAGGTAAGGATACTAATTTCTCAATTACATCTTGTATCAACTTAAATGACAAGGCCAAAGTATCAAATGATTAATACCATGCCTATTTGTCACTCAGACTATGCAAAATGTATTCTCAAAAAAAGACTTGGAATATCTTGGTATTTTTCTAGAAACAATTTTCTACAAATAATGCTGCATTCATTTATTAATCATCAATTTTCACTTTGTTCTAGTAACACACACACAGTTATGAAGATAATTTGGGGACAATTATAAGGGTGAGGGAGGGAGCAGCCCTTGCTTCCTAAGAGACGAATGAGTGTGAAGCATGTTGAATGAAATGGGTTTTAATAACGGGTTTGCACAATGACAACCTCCTCCACTGTACTTCTCATTAGATAATGACCGGCCTAAAGTAAAGTTGCCTGGGGTTTATTTTCTCTAGTGGTTGCATTCCAAAGGGAAGCGTGCGATGTTTCATTGAGATCCCCCCTTTTTTTCTTTGCAGATTTAAAAAGAGAAAATAAATCCCTCCATTCTTGCAATCATAAAGATGGGGGGGGATAGTCACGGTTTCTAATACTAAAAAGCAAACCCTGAATAATAGGGAGAAACTCTTCTCCTTGGATACAGTAACGTAAGTAGCAACACACTGCAAAAGAGAGAAAAGAAATCACTTCAGGGAGTTGGGAAATGCAGCTTCGCTTACCTGAGCACAGACTCCAGGAGCTGAGAGCCAGCAGGAGCATGCAGACCAGCTGGGTTTTCGTTGCTGGCATCATCTCTTTCAGCCTTCTCACAAGTCACGTCCCGAAAAGTCAGAAATAAACGGAAGGGAGCTCTCTCTAGCTCTGTCTCTTGCCTTCAGCTAGCTTTGAAAGTAAGAGAACTCCGGAGAGATGCTCTGGCCATTCCCTATATATACATGCAAGCAGGAGGATGATGTCATGACTGTACAGGGATTATCTTTCCAGGATGTGCCCTGCCTTCACCTTTATCCCCCTCCTCCTCTCCCCACTTCCTCTTTTGTCCCCCACTATCCTCTCCCACTTCAGAACCTTGAGTGAAAGTGACGATCTTCCCTAATTACTGCTGCTGCTCTGGATTCTGACGCACAGAAAGAATCATTCAAAAGCAGTGCCGTATACAGCAGGCTGGAAAAGTGCCCCCACTATCCTTCTACTCCCATTTCCTCCCGTCCCCGAGTCCCCAAAAGTCATCATTTCAATTATATGAAACATGAGATCTGTTATTTCCACTATTTAAGAAAAATATCTAGGATGAATGCAGGAAATCAGTGATTTCGTAGGCTTGGAAATTCTAAAAGAGTTAGGGTACTTTTCTGGTAATCCGAGCTTCTGAGCAAATGTTTTTCAGGTTCCAGAACTAATAGAAGATGTAGATAATAGAAGAATGTTTTAGAATGAAAAAATATATAGGCACAGAATCTAGTTATAGGCATTCAGCAAAAGAATTTAGATACAAGAGAGAAAAATCAATAAAGTAAAAAATAGTAGCTCTAGGAAATTATCTCCCATCACGTTGAAGTTTTCACAAGTAATTGGGAGAAGAACTGAATTATGTGTGCTGATTTTTGATTGAATGTCTTAGAAAAATAATTTCATGTTTATAAAATCCAGCTATAAGGCATTCATGTGCTAGCAGGTGCTGTATCACCGATTGGTTTTGTCTCTGCTTATTCTCCCTTTTTCTGTATATATTATTCTGCTCTTTTTGGATCCATTCTTTTTTGGTATTTCTTTTTTTTTTAATTTCAGATTAATAGGAAAGAACATAAATCCAGTGAGAAGTGGGTTATGTGCCTCCCAATTTGGATTCATTCCTGATGCAGTGTCCCATTCTTGGTGTAATCCCCTTAGCACTGGTTTTCATCATTGCATCAACTTTTTGTCCCTGTTACAGTCCTATTTTCACCATATGGATGAGACTGTACTTTTGGAAAGGAGACGATCCTCAATAACTGCCCATTCACCAGAGTCACTTTTCTATGACAGAATCGTTACGAATTTCATGAGTTACAATGCTACTCATTCCTTCTCGGAGTTCTCAGAAGAAAATAGCTCAAAATGCCTTTTGGAGTGAAGCTTTCTTCTCGCATGAGTTATTTCAGGACACAATAATCTGAAAAGAAACGTTGTTAGGGATGTGAATATTTAAAGCTAAAGTGGTCTCAGACTTGTTCAATTTTTAAATAAAATGAATCATGTAGTAACAACTGTGAAAATCCATATTGATTTCTCCTAGATATTTGATTTATGTTGTAAATATATGTATATGAAATTCATTTCATCTTTAAGCTTAAGGAAAGAGCAAGTTCAGACATTTAATAATTATTTAAAACAAAAAAGAATCACTCATATAACGACTTCAGGAATTTAACGATGGATTATATTTTTATTACTTCTCGTTCGTTGTGTAAGCTTACACACAACACAATAGTGAGCATGATTCCCTTAGGTAAAGTTTTCTATCAAGCGCAATTAATTGACAAATGTGAAATGTATACAAATCTAGATAATTTTTGCTTTTCTACCACTAGGGGGCACAATGGAAGTTTAAAAGGCGTTTCCTTTTCATTTAACTGGGCGCCTTGGAATTCTGATCAGGATGGTGCTTACTTTCCTCTCTCTTTGTGATAGAATCCTTTTAAAGTCACTTTGGTGTTAGAACCAGAAAATTATATATTCTTTACATGTCTGCTTTTGAATTGAAAATACAAAGAGTGATCTTTTAAAACCTGTGATAGAAGTCTATAGTAAAAAGAGAGGAGCAAACCTTAATTCCCCCTGGTGATTTCTTCAGTAAATGAAGCTCAGGGGAATTTTGACAAAATTCAGTCCTAACTAATTAGAAAAACAGGAGGAGGAGAACGAACAGCAGAAATTCGCTTTCAGTATGTAATGTGAATATGTATTAGTCGTTAACGTGAGAATTGCTTTAGATACGTGATAAACCTGAAAGAAATGTGAAAACACATAATGTCAAATGATTCAAAAATCAAATAAATGCTACATGTTGTTAATGCTGTTTTTTCTTTGCCGAAAAAAAGGATGTGTAACTTTTTCTGTGTAAATTTATGATGTAGATAAACTTTATCTGACCTCTAGTTTTTTTTAATGTATTACTTTTTTTTTAGTCCTAATCTAAATACTTTAAACTGCAGAAAAGCCACCTAAACAATTTGTTTTAGGAGTGTAGGTTAAGTGTGGATCTTTCCACTTAAAAAACGGCCCACGAAGTGCCCACCTGGTGCCTTTACTGCAGGATAGTAGCCGATTTTCAATGGAGGTGAGTGAACTAGTTTTGTTCTAAAGGCTTTTTACCTGAAATCCTTCTAAGGATACCTATAGTTTTCCAGGGTCGCCTGTTGAGTTTGAGGTCACTAACTTTAAGTGGATGTTCCTTGTCTGGGTGTCTGTTGATGGTAACATTTCTACAGCAGGTGTATTTCTGAGCTTCTGCTGTGACTTGTCAGAACCTTTAATAGGTAAATGCTCAAACCAATCAGCAGAGACCCCTGAAAGACAGCCTGAAAGATGGGTAATCAGAAAAAGGTCTGTACGCTTATTTAATTTGGAGATGAGAAATTTAACTCGGAGATGAGAATCAACTGATAAACCGTGGCTCTTTCATTCATAGGATTTCTTTTTATACCTGTGGAGGCTTCACTACCTCAGTAACACCTTACCTTGGCTCTCCACTCTTCAGATACTTAAATCACTATAACTTGGTCTGTAGTATGTCTACTACTTGGAATCTCTCTCCCATCTTCCTTTGAACGTCCTGTCTCTCACTTTCTCATGTTATAGCTCATTCTTAAAAGATTATATTTTACAGGATTGGCACCCGTTAGGGCACCAGCCACATACCCCAGGACTGGCAGGTTCAAACCTAGCCCAGGCCTGCTAAACAACAATGACAACTATAACAACCTGCAGTCCCAGCTACTCGGGAGGCTGAGGCCAGAGAATCACTTAAGCCCAAGAGGTTGAGGTTGCTGTGAGTTGTGATGCCATGGCCCTCTACCAAGGATGACATAGTGAAAACTCTGTTCCCCCCACCCCACCCAAAGGTTATATTTTACAGCCTAATCAACATAAATCTTTCCAAGTTTGAATCCTGAGAGTAGTTGTGTCTACATCAACTCTCCTGAAATTCTCCTAAATGCTCAGCACTGGCAACCTGTAAACTGCTAGCAGGAAAGGGCTCTTATTATATTTCTTCTTTCAAGATTTATAACCTGCAAGAGCTCAATACAGACCTACTAGTTCAACTAAAATACTACGTTAGATTTCTAACATGTTTTCACTTTTTACATTTCTTTCAGCCACACCTCTGAAAACTCCTTTGTAACTATTAAGATTTATGTTTTACACGCACCTTTACACAGCCTCAGACTTTCCTCTAGTCATTCTCCTTTTCCTTGGCTGAGAAAGTTAACTTTGGAAAGTCATTCGAGAAGATTGCCCTGGATTATGTTCAATCATCAGATGAGTTTTTAGAATGAATTGCAGGTTTTCTCCATTTCTATAAATGAGTCGATGATTCGAAGCTGTAACTCTGATTCATCTGAACAAACAGTGACATCAATGTCTTTGTGAACCAAATTGATTTTTCTGTTCCATTAAAGTCTATTTTCTAGCATTCAGGTAAATAGATGCGTGCACACACCCACCCTCACACACACTGTCTTGTATACAAAAGGATTATAACTCAGACTTTGGAGATTTAGGTGAATGGAAACCACATGTTCAATTTCCCAGTCTGTGTGTAACTAACTACAGTTCTTCCTGTCTCTATCTTTGGATCCTTACAGTAAATTAACTTGGCAAAACTGATGATGGGTTTCCGTAATTTGCATTTCTGTAATTTACTTAGTTAAATTCTCATTATAACTCATGCTTGGCTTGGAAATTGTATTTTAGTGAATTATCCTGTTTAACTAAAGATGTTCCACACTGCAGTCTCTGCTTACTTCACCTCTATCCCTTTCTCAGATCCAAGAAAAAAAACTGAGATACCCACAAGATTATGACCCACTATATGAAATTCTCAGGCGTTTGCCTTGGTAAGCCTCCTTTTTTGCATGAGATGAAAATAAAAGGAAAAAAAGTTCCTGACAATTTTCTTCTTTTATGTTTCCTGGTTTTACAAGTTGATGCAATTATCTAGAGTAAGAAATGAGATCATTCTTATTGAAAGAAGATTTTCCCTCTTTTTGTAATGTGTTACAAAGACTAAGAAAATTTCCCTAGCACTGCAACACTCAAAAAAGAATAGACATATTTGAGCGACCATTTACCAGGAACAGATTCATTGAAACTCTCCTTTTGTGTGTGTGTGTGTGTGTGTGTGTGTGTGTTTCTTAAGAAGATATCAGATGGTAAATTTGGAACACAATGGTATTATATTATTTACGCTCCTTTGTCATATTATTCTTTAAATGTATAGTTTTTCCCCACTGATCCTGATGCTTTGAATCCTATCTATTCCTTAGTAATCTTCCAGTTTGCAGCTCTGATGATTTGAATTCAGTCACTTCCTCAGGAACTCTGCTTGGAGTTTATTAGGCAAAATTATGATCTGACATAACACGTTGGATTTCCCGATGCACCTTTCTAAAAATATCCTCCTAGTGTTTTTCCTTTTAATTTCAAATTATTAATAGGGCAAACTGTGTGTGTTCCATGGATAGCTTTTATAATGCTTTAGTCGGGGCTATACGTATGCCCATCACCCAAATGGTGCACATTGCTCCTGTTAGGTGGTTGTTATCCCTCCCGGTCTCCCCTCTACTTGATTTCCGAAGATGTTGACTTCTTTCCGTGCACTCATGTGTCCATCAACTAACTCCAAATTCATGGAAATGAA